CCAGAGGACTGCAAAAGCGGTATATACTGTTAGCGCTTCTGCAAAAGCGGTAACGTACTGTGTATATACTGTTAGCGCTTCTGCAAAAGCGGTATATACTGTTAGCGCTTCTGCAAAAGCGGTAACGTACTGTGTATATACTGTTAGCGCTTCTGCAAAAGCAGTAAATTACTGCGTATATATACTGTTAGCGCCACCACAAAAGTGGTAACTTACTGTATATATACTATTAGTACCACCGCAAAAGTGGTAACTTGCATATACTCTTTTCCAAGAATGATTATTATTGTTTATTTAGCAATCATGTAACCATCGAATTATAAAGGTATTTATGTTATATATTGTTTCTCTGACAGAATTACATGAGTTTATGGTAAGTAATAAATGGTTTGTAGTTTGAACCATTTAGCAAGATTTGTCCAAATGATTTGCTCTAACAGACGACACCCCCAAACTGTTGCATTCCGTTGTCAAACAAATGCTTTTAATTTTTATGTCACAGCTCATCTTTTCGAACAGCTTGTTCTTTGTGAAAACCCTACTTTGAAGCACGACTCCATACACATGAAAAATCTGATTCCGCTTCTTGCCCATAACCAAGCGGACTCCGAACTCCTTGGTGCCCCCATGCCTACAGATTTGGACTTTAATTGCCATTTGCACCATTATTGCATTATTGCACTGTTTCCTGTATTTATCTTTAATATTAATTTGTTATTGATTTACTCCTACGTACCACTCTGCTGCTCCATCATTGCCCAATTGAAATATTCCATCAGTGTTTACTTCCACATTGTGTGTCAGTGATGTTAATGTGTCCCCCACTTGTCCTGTCTATGCACTTTATGTATATATGTAGCTTGCATCATAATCCAGTGCGCAATGTGGTTCTTCTGACAATAAAGCCCCATTTGAAATGTCGATACGGGAGGAAAACCTAAATCTGCCTAAGATGTTGGTCGGCTGGCTTGTGTTTTAAATCAAGCTCAGGTTTTTAGTTTAGTTTTCTTTGTCACATAGTCATACATTGTAGTACTGTGTAGTAAAATGGCTTTTCCACCTGCATTCTGGATTGTGTTCAAGGAAGTATGCAATACAAAGGAAAAAAAATAGTATGAAAATTGGAATAAATAAGAATTAAAAATAATGAGATGACTGTAAAATAGACAGTACAGAGCAGTGTTCATCAGTAGTGAAATGGACGGTTACAGTATGGAATGATGAAAGTGCGTTAAGTAACATCGTTACTTGTTAGCTGTGGAAGGTCCTCGTTCAGAATGCCAGCAGCCAGAAGGTTGAAGCTTTTCCGCAGCCCCTCTGTGTTGCCCTTCACGCCGGGGAAAGGCCTCCCTGACCGTGGCCGCGACAGTAGGCTGGTGTTCGAGTGGGACGGCTCTTTCATTACCACCAGTGCTTTGTCCCTACAGCGCTGCCTGTCAGTGGCCTGCCAGATCAGGACATCGCATCTGAACAAATCACTTCTTGGTCACGTCCCCGGACTCATAGAATGAGTTTTAATGAGTTCCACTAAATGGGTCTTGATGAGTTTTCCGCCACTGTGCATTTGTTATCTGTGGGGGTGGCGAGTAGCTCAGCAGATTTCTGATCTGTACCCATGTTGTGGGTTCAAATCCTATGGCTGGTGGAGAAAGCAAATCACTGTTGGACCCTTTATGGAACATCCTTAATGTCGGCTGCTCCAGGGACACTTTCTGACGCTGCTCCCTGACCCTAACCCTTTATGGAACATCCTTAATGTCGGCTGCTCCGGGGACACTGTCTGACGCTGCTCCCTGACCCCAAGTTTTTCTCATTGCTTTGGATGAAAGCATCTCCTAAAAACGTGTAAACGTGCTTCGTGGTGTGAAACGTTAAATTCGTGTGGCTTCCGTGCCTGTATGTGTGCATCTGATAACCGGTTTGACATCAGTCAATGCTTACAGAATCTGCTCCATACGTTCCCCCATGCTGTGGTGCCATTAGCCCTCCTCTGATCCACTGTCCCTCTCCACCCACCGCAGGTAGGAAGGTGGAGAAGTCGTGCAACAGTTCCCCCAAGACCTGTGCCTTGATGGAGCGCTTCCCAGAGTCCACGGGCTGCAAACGGGGCCAGGTGGGTGACCCCCCCCCCCTCCCATAGCCACGCTGTCACACGATGGGACTGTCTGTGATGGGGCAGCTTATGGTCTTGGGGGTGTGGCATGCTGGAGCCCCGCCCATTTTCATATCCACATTCTCAGCCCTTCACCCTCCTTTAATGTTGTGTCTCTTCCCTAAAGCTGTGTGAGGCTCTGAGGTCCGATGTTACATCCTGACATCTTATGAGCACCGATTTGTGATGAATGATAGAATCTTTGGCTCTGCCTGTCCCTGGGTGGTGGAGCTGGGGTGGCACAGTGGGGGAGGGGGGCACCAATCTGCCCGGGGGGGGGGACGTTTTCACGGCTTTCTTACTTTATCTGATCTGACGGGCCCCTCCCGTTTCCTGTCGCCACAGATCAAGTTCTCCGTGATGCAGCCAGGAACTCATGTCTGGCCCCACACGGGGCCCACCAACTGCCGGCTGCGGATGCACCTGGGGCTGGTCATCCCTGCCCGCGGCTGCCGGATCAGGTGCACCAACGAGACCAGGTGAGCTGAGCTGCCCGACGTCAGGGGATGGGCGTGACGGACGAGGCAGGGGGGCTGCAGGGGCTGAAGCTGTGGCTGGGGCCCCACTTAAAGTCACCCCCCACCAAATTTATTTAGCAAAAGCTAAATAAATAGCCAGTGAGTGGAGTCAGAAGATGGTAACTTGCTTGCTGGTTAGCAGAACATGCGGCTCCAGCATCTCCTAAATACAATGGAGAAGCATGGAGAGAACCTTCAAAATGAATCAAGGGAGCATGAATTGTGACCCAGTTAAACAGCGTCTGCACCTTCCAGGAGGTTCCGGAAGGCTCTGTCTTCTCAGTAACACCTTAATGTTTGTTAATGAACTTCATTATGATCTTCAGACACTGTGCAGTGGAAAGCAGACATTAGTATGAAACACTCTCATTACCTCCTGCTGTATCACTGCAGGTTTAATTTTCTCTAGCTCATAGATGTGTCCGTATGCTTTGGGATGGACTGGCATCCCATCCAGCATGCCCACAGCCTTGTGCCCTGTGCTGCCTGGGATTGGGTCTGGGGCCTCTCTCAACGAGTCACTTTGGGGCTCAGAAGATCATGGTTAATTAGCAAAACATGCTGCTTCGGCATCTCCTAAGTGTGGAATGTGTTTAATATTTAGTGGAGTGACTGTTTGTGGCCAACAACAAATTTGCAGTTTATGTGCTGGTAAAACCGCCACTGCGTTGTACTTAAAGTGCACTGCTGAGGTGCAGTGGCTTACTTTACACTAACAAGTGTTGGAACCTCACACCTGAAGGTTTGTGGGCTTAAAACCCACTTCCTGTCGGCTCTGTGCGTGTGGAGTTTGCTTGGAATGTTCCCCAGTTTGTGTAGGTTTCCTCCAAAAAAGTCCCAAAACATGCCGTTAAGGCAAATCTCTGATTCTTTGTAGTCTGTGTCCTGCCCCATCCAGGGTGTCCTGATTGTTTGAGTAAATCTCCGTCTGTCATTTCCCACAGGAACTGGGAGGAGGGCAGGATCCTCATCTTTGACGACTCCTTCGAGCATGAAGTGTGGCAGGATGCGGACAGCTACCGACTGATCTTCATCGTAGACGTGTGGCACCCAGAGCTGACCCAGTATCAAAGGCAGACGCTTTCACCGATATAACAGGGCGGGACGCCAGGACTTCGGGCCGACCACTGACTGCAGACCACTGGCTATTGTTTTGCATATTTAGATAGGAATATCTCTTTACCCCAGCAGAGAAAATCAAAGGTACCACTGTCTTACAACCTTCCTCTGATGGAAGCCCGAGGCACAGGAGAAAACTGGCAGGCCACGTTGACAATTGGATGCTTCGCTGATTTCTTATTATTTTTTTAATTTTTTTGTTTTGTTACTTTAGAAGCAGGTCAATATGTCTGAAAAGGAAATGAGCACAATGGAAGCATCCTGCTGAAATACAAGCTGGCCGGAGAGTTTATAGGGGCAGCATCGGCGCTCAGCACGGCAGGATTCCGTCATGATTTTGTTCTGACTCTTAGCTGGGAATCCTGTCCAATCTGTAGCCCTGGAAATGGCCACTTGGAGAGTCTGCAAGGTGACTTTTTGCGGATGCCTCCCTCCCGCCACCAAACCTCCTGCCGACTGCAGATACAGCTCATCAGAACGCGCTGCGAGCGATCCAAAGCTCCAGAGAGATCCCAATGTCTGCACGTGTTTTTTTGTTCCCCTGTGGTTTCTTTCACTCTGGTTGACATGCACCCGACTTCAATCTTTAGGCGTCGTTCATTCGCCAACCCGTTTTTGCCTGAACAAAGACACGTCGCGGTCACTTTATAGAAATCTGTGTTTTGAGTAAACAAGATTCATTCCCAGCAGAAAGTGATTAATAATGCCGTTAAGACCGTGATAGTTCATGGTGCCGCTTGTTTTAAAGGCTTCTTGCTAGGTTTGTTCTAATGGGGAAGAAGGTCCTCAGCTTAGCATTAGCATTTAGCAGGGTAAGTCCTTCTTCACATAACACTTCATTGTATTATATACTGCTGTATTGTCTTGTCAAACAACACTACTTAAAATTTTGTGGATGTCAGATAATGTTGTATTTTATTTATCACATGACAGCTCCTCAAATAATCCATCGCAGCCCCTCGTGACACATTCCTCTCCTGCCATCTGCTCATTACCGAAACAGGTATAGCACATTAACCAAACGTATAGCACATTAACCAAAACCGGTTACCATTTTTAGTCCATTGTCACAAAAACCCAGGAAACAGATGGTGGAATAGCTGCCAAACCGTTAATGTGAAAAATGCCAAAAATGATTGTGTATAAAAATAAAGGATGCTTTTTTTTTAACTCTGAACTTCCAAATTGAAATATGTAGGTTTTATTTTATGGGACTAGTAAGTGGTGATGAAATGTTACCCTTTGAAAAGGGCTCATTATGTTACTTGTCTTTATGTGGTGGGTGACCTCGAATGTATGTTCTGCTAAATGTCGTGAAGCTTTCCGTCATTGTCTGGGAATGAGGAGACCAGCCTTCACCTCAAGATGCCGATGCTCTTTAAGAAATATCTGCGTCTGGCCGGTTTTTAAACTCTCTTTATGCTGTAAAATGTGCCAAGAGAGTCGCTGAATTTGTTTGATCGGGGAGGTAGAGAGATTGAGTAAGTCAGTGTTTCCCAACCCAGTCCTCGGGGAACCCCGGACAGTCCACGTTTTTGCTTCCTCTCAGCTCCCAGCGCACCTGTACCAGGTATTCGGTGTTCCTGATTGGCTAGGAGCTGGGAGGGTGCAAAAACGTGGACTGTCCAGGGTTCCCCGAGGACTGGTTTGGGAAACATTGTAGTAAGTG